TTCCTTCTTTCTCTCTCTCATCCTGCGGGATCGGCGCCTCAGCTGTGTCGCATTCGGTAATCAGTGACTTGTTGGTTAGCGCACAGCTGAGGCGCATTGCTGTGATTACTTTACTTCCTTATTTAATCCTCTGGCAGACGCTCCTTCGTCGCCAAAGCATTAAGGTAAATTATTGTAATGCGTGTATTCAGTCGTTACGCGATTTTGATTTTCACTGCTGACAGTCCCTGTCCGGTTGATTATTTTGTCAGTACATTGTATACTCGTGTTTAGCTTATGTTAGTGATGTCCAATTGACACCATGACACCTGTATTGAACCACTTCATCATTTGTATCGAGTATTGGTTCATTCATTCAAAGGTTTGGTTTAGTGCCATCTGGTGGCAAAATAGTATGCAGCAGAACAATGTCTGAATTATGTGATGGGTGTAACTAGGCTTTGTGTGAATGATGTGAAAACGTTTGTAAAGATTGATTGGTCAGTCAGTCCAGTCTATGAACGTATGTATGTAAGCGGGAGAAGGCATGCTTGGGGAAACAGAGGATGTGCGTATGTAACTAGGACAGGGTGTGAATAAATACAAGGGAAGGAGAATCAATCATTTTTACTCCTAGCTGGCTCCATGGTGATCATACACCAGCAGCAATGATCATACTGACAGCAACTACGCACATACCTACTACGCCGACAAACCCACATGTTGCGCATCATCTTGGATGGCTTTATAGTACCCCTACGCCTACGCACTTGCTGACTACACACACACCCCTACTACGCCGACAATCCTACATGTTGCGCATCATCTTGGATGACTTTATAGTACCCCTACGCACCTGCTGACGCACGCAGCGAGATCTTGCGTCATGACACCGTATCGACGGTTTGAACCAGTCACTGGAGTCACTCAGGCTAGCGTTTCTGCGTCAGATGTCATCAGTCACGTGTCTTTTCCGCAACAATACAAGCCTCGAGGCAGTGGTTCATGGAAGAGCCCTCTTTGAGCTCGAATCATGTACTAGCTTACGTACCTTGATTTCAACGCTGACAGTTCCTGTGCTGTTGAAGTCTTGCTTTTCTTTTTTTTTTGTCTTTCGTTCGCTACTCTGCTTCCCTAACTTAGTTACTGCTTTTTCACCTGTCCGTCCCGGTTCTCCAATTCTCCTGGTTCCTGCCATTATTCTGTCTACTCATCTGCTCGTCCTAGTCTCCTCAGCCATCTCTGCCCTACCCTGGTTATGTACTGTTCTTACTTTTGTTTGTGTTCTTCATTAAACCACCCTTTTTTCCACTAGCACCTGGGTAAGTATCTTGAGTCCTACCTCAGTTCTTCCTCACCCTCTGGTGAGGGAGACTCAGCCATGACAGTTAAAAACTAGCACCATGAGGTTGACGTTTGTGGTTTTCAGTAAAATGCCAAGCCAACTACTGGATGGACTGCCATGAAGCTTTGGTAATGCGCTGGACTTCATTCAGCACTATCATCACACCATCACATTTTAATTCAGAAGTAAAACGCATGTCACTGTGTGCAACATTAGTCAACAATAAAATGATATGTTTTGAACCATTCAAGCGACAAATAAATTTAAACATCAAGTTTCTTAAAACAGCAGAAAATGTACTAATTTGAGATGACACAAACAATTTGCTAGCACTCATCCATCTAGGCTTTTTCAGTAATATCCTTAGGGTGTCATTGTAAGCCACTGACAGTTTCTGAAGACTGCCCTTCTTATAATTACACCACAGATGGGCAGTGTACAAGGGAGTACAATAAGCTTTAAACAAAGCCAATTTTACCTCCACTGAGCATGCACCAAATTTCCATGCCAGTATATTAGCTTGTACGTACAACATGTGGAACTGCCGATATATATCCCTGTCATCAGACAAACAATCATTAATGACATGACCCAAATACTTAACTTCATCTGACTAAATCATGTCAGCTTATGACCAAAGTACATGCAAAAAAGTCCAGTTCTTTCCATGAACACGGTAAACCTTACACCTGCTAAGTCGTCTTTAAAATAAACGGTCATCCATCTTACTGAGGTATCCTTTACACAGAGCTTCTCTCTGGTCTGATATTAATAAGTATTACTGGTTACTGAGTCCCTCTGCTTTCACACAGGTAGAGAAACCAGATCCTGCGCTATCGGGTGTCACTGGACTCCCGGACACATCAGTGCCCCACCCGCCTGCCTGCTCTGTCATGAACATAAAATCCAGTCTGCTGGACACCCAGGGACCCTTTTGGTGGATGTGGTGGGGGCTGACCTTTCCCCCTCCCTGTCTGATGTGGGATATCCAAGTAAAGCCCATCAACTGATGCAAACAGAAACTTACTGTAGCCATTGACTGATTCTTGATGTGTTTAACACGTTCTGAGCCTGAATTAAGATTAAATTAAGCTCTCAGAACGTACAGAGTCCAATCAAGGCCTTACATCTGACAAATTGCAGGTCTAAAACTCATACATTTACAGGTTTGGCTGTAAATTATTAAACAGAAGGTGAAGATTTAAGCGATTGGCTCAGAAAACAAGTAGACGCCACAGAAGCCAGACTGAAAAGGTTAGTCTCTAGATTATGTTTAAAGATGGGAACATATTGTGAATCCTTCTGCTCCTCTAACAGACTGGCCTACAGCCAAGAGCTATACTAAATAACTCACAGCCTCTAAAGCGAATGTGGTGTATTAACTGAAGGCACAGCATCACCCTAATAGAGAGGTAATTGGGTCAGTGTGAGAAGAGATGGGCTACAGGCCCAGATCCAAATCCACAAGGACAGGAATTAAATTCACTATAAATATAAAGAAAAAACACACTGCGCTCTATCCTCCTATGTTTAGATCTTTTGTGAACACTTGAAACGCATGTACACATATATATATAATGCATTTCTGAAGCTCTGCCATGATGCCAGTAGTGCCACCTTCCACATATCTGCCTGTGCACTAAAATGTCAAGATGTAGTCACTCCAGG